ATCGTTATTTCCATCTAGAAGGTGAACTAGCTACTAGCTATATGCAAAGAGGGGATTAAGAAAAAATCAGTTTTAACGATTACTCTGGGAAGTAGGTTATTTTATTTTTTAAAATTAACCTAACTGAAAATTTGTGCAAAAAGTGTGCGTACATTTATGCAACCATTAAAGCCTGCTTCAGCTGAGGTAAATGGCCAAGTATATTTCTGCAAGACTGAAGAACAAGAAAAGGTGACATTTAGGCTTGCCACTTGGATAATTTCCAATAGTCCTGACTCATTTTACTATAGTCTTATCAGTTGTCATCAGAACACTGCAGACATACAAACTGAGTAAATGGTGGCTACAGACACACAGATCAAAGTGGCTGCTTTTTTATTTTCCTTTTTCTTTCTTTCTTTCTTTTTTTTTTCTTTTCAATTTAGAACGGTAACGATCTTAATGACATGGCCTGGAAAACCTTAAGAGTTCTGCTGATATACCATGTTTTGAAGAACAGGATAGTTTTTCCTCTTAAAATACCATCAAGGACCATTCACATGAGAACAGAAGAACAGTGACTAAGATCTTTATAAATAGGAGCTGAAAGCTGGGTTGCTAAATCCATATTTAGTCAGCTATATAATTTCAAATATGGCAAGCACCCCCTATGATTCTGTCATTAAACACACTTGGGTTTTAAGACTGTCCAGCATACTTGAAAATGAGGCCACTAATTTTAGAGAACAAATAGGAATCAAATAACCTAACATGAGGCTCCTGGTTTGAAAATGCCAGTATCTTGCTTAGAAGTTCTTTGGTTACATTTATTTTGTAGATCTACTGAATGAAATTGCTACAAAACTAGCCAAACTAGGTCCAAAGCTCCATTTACTCCCTCGTTCTGTATTCAGCAGTAACTAGGGCTAGCTGTTTAAGGAAAAATGTAAGAACAGGCTAAATACCAAGGGACACTTTTCTTACTATATCCTTCCAGCGCTCAGCAACATGTGATGCTGTTGATCAAGTTATTGATAGATAATGTTCTGCTTAAGAGCATTTTCTTGTGCTAGCAATCATTACAAAACCATGACACCTAAAGCACATTAATTCAAACAGGAAAAAAAAGTAGTAATCTCATGTTATTCAAAACACTCCTCCTTAAAAAAATAAGAAGACTGTAGTTTCTAAAATAGTACTTCAATTCAAAGCAAACAAAGGCTTACAAATCTCAGGGTAGTAAAGTGAATATAAACACTCGCCTTTTGAAAAGTAGGAAGATGGCTGGCTGTTTCTAGGGCCCTGGAAGTGCAACAGATTAGTGTAACTGTGAAAAATCCTTCATAGTGAGCAAAGAAGGAATAAGGATTTTTGCATAAAACGAGCTGTTATGCAAGAGAAGTCAGGAACACAAACACTAGCTCAGGTGGCACAAAAAGTTAGAGAGAAATTCTAGGGATAAAAGAGTTTTTTTCCATCAGAGGGAATAGGAAAAAAAAAAAAAAAAAAAGAGGAATTCGGGTCTTCAGGTCTTGCCAAAAGGAAATTAAGGCCTTTTAGCCAGTAGAGGATTTCAAGGATTTCAAACGGGATCAGCAAAAATGGATTGATTTTGATAGAGTGATTTTAAAATGTGAACAACGACTGAAAGCACAGACTCCCCTTTCTTATTTGCCGTCTTTCAGCCAGCATAGTTCACATGAGCAATCCCATTGGCTCGCATGAAGGTGTTTCCAAAAGTGAAATATCTCCAGTATTTAAATGCAAATGCAGTCTACATTCAATTCCTGAGCGCATAATGCCACATCATTACAACAGATTAAACCATGAAGCTACATTTAGGGTCCTGCTTCTAACCTGTTAGCTCTCAAGAGTACATGATTAATGATACCTACCTCTCCCTGTGTTGTGAGGCCAGAAACCTCTTACCTGAAAAAAAAAATCTAATTAAGAGTTCTAAAGTATTTAGGTCTGATACAAAACCCTTTTCTTCCATTCACTCCTATCTGTTGCTTTAGAACTCAAACTCAGATGAAAAGTGGTTAGGCACTTATGAAATCCTCCAACTTCTACAGAAAGCACTGAGCCTTTTCTCTTTAAGCTATCCAAAATCTGCTTCACAATGCTTTTTCATTTTTTTATGTACAGTTTAACAAAATGCTGTCAACACAGACATGTGGGTTCTCTTACTAGACAAATTTGGGATAAATTGCATTGAAGTTCACTTGAGCTAAAAACAGTGTAAAACCAAGAAAGTATGCAAAATTAAACCTTCCAACTTCAAAAGCCAGCAGGAAGCAAGAGGGAATGATTGCAATTATTACTATAAGTAATCAAGATCCTGTTCCCATACAGAAGTCCGTAGCAAACTAAAAACACAGGAGGAGATGCACAGAAAACCTAAGCAACATGCGTATCCTTTCAACTGGAGTTTTTCCCCACAAAGCATCTGCTAGAGGTGAAGGGAAACACAGCTGACCCACAGTAGCGGCTGCTGGAATAGACAACTTAAAGCTCCTAATCAGGTTGTTCCATGCCAGAACTATCATCATTTCATACCCTTCTAAAATGTTGCAGAAACAGCCCCCTTAACTCAAGGGAAGTATTTGGAGATATAAAAAGCACAGTAAGTATCGGCTAATGAGGAACAGACAAAGAAAAGTGCCAAACGCTGTAAGGCCCCTGATACTTAAGATAATGACTGAAATTTATGACTGCTTCCTTCCCTGGCAGACAGGAGTACAATTAGAACTCTCAAAACAACAGCCCCTTTTGTGCTGGCATGCTGTGTTGTGTTTATACGGCTACAGATAGACTAGGAGATAAAAAAAAAATAGCACAGCACCCTTTCTAACCCAAGATAATAGCAAACTTTTTAATGTGGGTTTGGGCATGGTTTTGTGCATAGCTTATTCCCAACCGAAGTTATTTAGGCAATTATCATTACTTGGGCAGGAATTAACTATTTAAGTAACTCACTACATGCAGAGCCCTCTGAAAATCACACAGAACAGGAATAAGTGTGCTATCACTTCAATCTCCTTCCTTGTCCAAATACAGCTTGACATTTAAACAGCTTAAATTATTCCTTTATTTCAATATTTAAAAATGTGAATGGGCTTGGCTTGAGAAACTGCTGAATGAAAAGCATCAGGAAGCCTATATGCCCTTTCTTTCATCCTTGTACCCAGTGATACAGATCACTTGGAACTGAATTGTTAGAATAAGAAAATACAAGCACAGGTTTTCTCAACTCCTTCACAAAAGAAGCATTATTACAACAATACTTAGAATATGCAATCTGGACTAAATAATCACAGATAGTTTTACATCAGAATATCCTACAGGCATTTCTCCATACAAATTCTGGGAAAGCTACATGCAAAGGAAGCTCCAACAGCTTCCCAAAGAGCAGAACATCCACAACTGAATCTTGAAGATTTTCCCTGTTGTGTGGACTGTCATTCCCTGTCATTTTGGACTACACATCTCTGCCCCTTTTCTCTTTCATTTCATACTCAAGGTACATCTTGACCCTCAGAATTCCACTGATTTCTTGTGATACAGCTAAGCAAGAAGGCTAGTTCCTTCCTCACTTACAGTGATGATCACACTAGTCTTCTAGTATGGTCTTTTGAATCAGTAGAAATGACTGAGTAGTTCTGCTGATTTCATATGGCTTAAAAGAACACGACACACAACATCACATTTTACCAGTATGGGATAATTCCAAAGCAATAAAGTTCATGTGACAAAGGAAAAGAGTAGTTGAATTTTTAAGTCTTTAATTGTACAGATCTTCATAAAGAAAGTAAAAGCACACCAAAAACAATACCATATTACACACTACAGGGATTTACCACGTGCAAGAGGAAAGAGGAAGCGGCTCTTGCAAGCCTCCTGCAGGCCTCCTGCAGGCTTGCAAGAGAAAAGCGGGGAAAAAAGAAATGTGGACACAGAAAAAAATCCACCATGAAATGGGAAGTTTCATAATTTGATTAATTATAGAGGGTTTTTTCCTTAAAAAAAAAAAAAAGGAAAAGAAAAAGAAAAAAAGAAAGTGAAAATAAAAAGAAAAAACTTCTGGTTCGTCTAAGCACTTGGGCTGGCTGCACCCATATGCAATTTGAAGATCACAGATCAAACCTAGCTGACAGCATTCCTAAACAGCTCCACAATACCAAACCAACAGTCTGGAAATTCCTTTCAATTCACATCTTTCTAACAAAATTTTGTCCTGAATTCTTCCTTCGGCTGTTTTTTCAATAAAAAAGCATCTACTTAAAAGTATCTACTCTACTGTTAGCAGTACTCAAATAGTGGAAAACAAAAACAGTGTTTCATTCTGTGCTTTTAATGCAAACTACCTCATTACCATTTTAAATAATAGTAAACTTTTTAAAAAATACAGCCAATAATTTGCAGTGTTATTTGCTAGATATTTCTTTGCTACTAATAGAGCTAAAATTCTCTTGTAGTTCTGGACAACTGGAACTTAAATTAAAAAAAAAAAAAGCATTTTGTTATTCTTTTTCCTCTCCACAGCTCCATGAATATTTGATAATACAATTTTTACAGTTTGTCTCAGTTTTCAAAGCCCAGTTTTCAACTAGAAATTCATAAATCACAACAGCCTCATGAATAAATACTGTAGCTGAATTTTGTATGTTCCTGCTATTCTGTTTAAGATATAATAGGAAAATTATTACCAAAGAAAACAGCAGAGAATAATAGAGGTACTAAGCATGGAATTAAATCGAACAAAGAAAAATAACTTTAATTTGGCTAATGGAGAAAATTCAGAGCCACAGGTCTAACGAGCCTGTATTTTCCTTCCTTGAGTCCTGTTCAACCTAAAACTCATAGCACAACGGATGCAAATAGCCCTGCCTACATGAAATAAGAATTAGAGTTTAAAATTGGTTTAGCAAAAATGTGACAGCAACCTTACATTGAGAAAAATCTGACACTGTTCTCTGATAAAAACAAAATACAAAAGCAGATACTAAGATGTTCTTTACCTAGCCATTCCCAGACTGGAAAAGTTGGAAGGGACTATCAAAACATCAAGCCTGGAGAAGGGATGAGTACCCAGGGTGGAGTAAGCAGCAGAGAGGCACTGGGGAAGTAGCCGGAGTACAAGATCCTTGCAGCTTTCCATAAGGCACCAGGGAGTAAAGACTCTGTACGGAATGACCGATTGCAACCTGGCTTCAGGGTTTTGGAAACGGCAGGGATACTCCACATGACCACAGTTTTCTTCATGCCACCTGAGAACAAGAAAAATGTACAACAGTTCAACGTGATATCAGAAATATGCACAATTAAGTATATCAAGATAAGAATATTTTCTATACAATAGAGAGACAGAACTACAAAGTTGGATCACAAAGCCAGCTCATTTGTATGCTCATACCGTTCACATACACACAGCAGTACAAAAACATAGGCTAAGAGTATTATTACAAGTCTAACTAGAATTGATGTACTTAAGTCGTAACTAGAAGTAAATGAGACTGGTCAAAACTTGTTCTTATAATGGTTATGTATCAAAAGAACATGTGTTTAAAATGGAAATACAGAAAACTAAGTGAGTAGCAATAAAAAAGATATATTACTCAGATAATTTTTAAACACTGTAAAATATTATGAATTTTTAACTCAGCTACCAAAAGAAGATCTATTTTTCCAGAAGTATATTACATGCAATTAGAATAAAATTCAAAGTTTTGTGTTTTTTTTTTTAATTAAATAATTCTCCATGAAAACTGGTCAATTCCTTTTTTCCCCCTAGGTAAAGAAACACAGTAGATATTAATTCAGATTTATCAACATAGATATTTTAAGATATCACATTAAGACCGAGCTTGTTTTACATTACTTTTACAGGATGTTCAAAGTTGTAGCTTGAAGAAAGGGGAAATCCAGTCTCTCCTAAACACTGAGTCAGATTCTTTAAAGATAATTCATCTACCCAAATAAACTCCTATCTAAGGAGAAATTTGCTTCATGTTTTCACCTGCTAACTTGCCTTCTGTATGATGTTCTTCTTTGATTTCATATTTCAACATAAGGGAGCTGATTCTACTATGCCTTGACAGGCAAAGCACTTGCAGGAGGCATCACCCAAAGCACTTACATTCATAAGATCATGCTCCAAGTGAGTGCTGACACACAAAAACAAATGATAACACACAGAAAAGCATATTTTTTTCTGAAGTGCCAACATTTTAACATCTTATATAACTCTTCCCCAGAAAATGTTCCACTTTTTCAGAAAGAAGTGGACTCTAAGCTATTTCACGGATTATATATGCAAGGGAACTACACCCACCATTATACACTTTTTTCCAAGGGTGGTCTAAACCAGTATCATTCTGATCTAAAAGGATGTCACTTCATACTTAACCAGAGAGTTAAGATTAGGTAGGCACATGAAGCTAACAACCTATTTCTAATAAAAATTGCCAATGATTCTTTAATGACCATAGGGAGACAGAAATCTTATTTCACATCCTAGCTCAATTTTATACTTTCTGTGGTATCTTACGACAGTAACTTCTTTCAAACTACTCATTTCAGATTCCCTGCCACCTGCACATAAATTATGTTACTTTTAGTTTCTTTTAGAATTCCTTCTTTTTAATCCTGCTGTGCATTAAAGACAATACACACTCAAGAACAACTACCCATAGAGTAGTGCCGCTATAGAGGCACTCATACCATAAATATATAAATAGTAGAGAAATAAATACAAAACAATCTCTAAAAGTGTGTCAGACATACAAACCACTTAAAATTCTCAGTGTATATGTCTTACTGACCTTAGATGAAACACAGAAGTTCTTATACTCAGGATTTACATGGATATTTTTTTAACTAATATTAGCCAAGTTGCAATCTATTAGAATACTTTAATTTCAAAATTGTATTGAGATATCTTTATTACACACTCAATTTCCAAAGTTTCTCTAGCTCTATCAAAGTGGTAAGGACTGCCACAGCCTTAATTTTAGTATGGTGTTAGCCCTAAAATGGCTGCCTATTAGGTAAGTATTTTTAGGTCAAACTTCTAAACGCATAATAAAAAGGGCTTTAAGGAACTTAAAGGAACAGGACGAGGGATAACGGGCGTAAGCTGAAACACAGGCAGTTCCACCTCCACAGGAGGAAGAACTTCTTTCCTGTGAGGGTGACAGAGCCCTGGAACAGGCTGCCCAGAGAGGCTGTGGAGTCTCCTTCTCTGGAGATCTTCAAAACCTGCCTGGATGCCACCCTGTGCCACATGCTCTGGGTGTCCCTGCTGGAGCAGGGGGTTGGACTAGATGATCTCTAGAGGTCCCTTCCAACCTCAACCTTTATGTGATTCTGTAACTTGAAAAGCTAAAGGTAACATGATAAAATAAAGTTCAATATCTGAGATTGTGTTAACTAGCAAGAATACATATGTAAACAAACTATTGTTCCAAGAAACTTATTTTTAGTCTGAATTCTCATTTGCAGGCTGATATATAATTTAAACATAATAATGACTTAAACCTGGTGATCACTTTCAGCTACACTGACAGAGAGATAGAAGTGTCCGTAATAACTACATTTCTACAGTTTTGGTGACAGACTGCTAAGTAACAATTTTGTGTGCTGGAAAACAGACTATTTTTTATTAAGTAAAATGAATACTCTGCCTTTCTTTTTAGGGACCACTGGGTCATCCCGGGGAAACCACTGCACAGGCCTGCTCTAAGTCTGGGATGGGACTGTACAGGACAGGAAAGGAAAAGCAGGTGACTAAGCCTAAGTAGATAATACTGTAGTAGAGGGCATTAATGATCCAGAAGGGACTGAGACTTTAAAAAAGAAAGATCTTCCAGTGAGTGTTTTAAGAAACAGTGGAGGAGCTGGTATTATTGCAGCAAGAGATGCAGCATGCAAATCACATGACACTAGGCTTCATTAATCCTGTTATTCACTAAGAGCCTGTTTTCACATTAAAAGATCCACACCCTTACCTATGAAATAATACCTCTGGAATTACTTCTCTGTCAAGATTTGGCTGTTCAGATTAAACAAGTTCTGTTTTGATTCCTGTACTGAAATGACTCATTTTTACATTCCATGGAGTAAATGAAAATGCTACACAAATATCTTATTTTTCAGAAACAGTCCAAACACATACCTGAAGTCAGCTTGGGAAAGTGGCAAGGAAAAGTCACTATTTGTCTGAACATCAGCAGTGAAGAACTGCTCTTTAACTTCCTGCCAGCACCCAATGGCAATAGTGAAGGTAGATGCAGGCATTGGCATAGTCACGTAGTAATACCAGCTCAAGACACCTGCAAGGAAAAAGAACATTTGTACAGAATCAGCAGTCACAGCAGAGCCAGTATTGGGAATTCTAATTTTGGGCCAAGCCTCCCACCAAAGAGCCTCACAGTTTTGTTAAAGAAGGGAAAATATTACTGAGACGCATAAAGGTGGTGATTTAAACTCACCATGGGTTCTCTATCGCTCCTTTCTGTCTGAAACATCCTATATTTATATCTCTACCTTTAGATTAAATGCTACTATCTGCTGTTTTCTTCAGCTATTAAAAAGTCCATAAATGGGATGTTATTAATGCAGCTTAATATGATTGCACTGTTACTGCCCAAGAATCATATCAGATGGGAAATCAAAAAGGATCTTTAAATCTACACACATAAAAAAAAACCAAACACACCACAGAGCTCTCCGCTCCGCAAAAGAGAAAACAAATCCCAAAACTTTTACAACCTTTAATCACCTTCGTTGGTCCCAACTATATTGTCTCTTACAGAATCCTTTTCTTCGCATTCAGGACAGTACAAAATGGGTGAGTAAGGTTTAAAAAACACACTAACAAATCAGACCCGGCAATCTGAGGTATATGATATGCCAGCCTGGCAGTGAGAAATCAAAGCTTGGAATCAGATGTGATATTGCCAAACTCAGTGATTTGGCTGTGATAATCCAGGAGCTTCTATAACAAGATTAGAGAGTCTATTTGAAGCTAAAATGATGAAAGCTTTCATCAGCATGGGAATACAGTGCAGGAAGACAGGCAGCATAGCATAGGATGACTCTAGCTGTGAATCAGTTTGGAGGTTGTTTCAGAACATTATACATTTCATTAGTGTAAGCTTTTGCTTACTTCTACCTTATGCCCCTTTAGAAAAGGTAAGGCTCAAGAGTCACATTTGAGGACTCATTTGTACCCTCAAATACAGTTGCTGCATAGCACTAAATGGGTTAATTATATGTGGAAAGAGGGTAATATGAGGTACAACCTGCCAAATCATGTGCAAATAAGTACAGCAATGGCAACTATGGAAACATCAGGTTTTAGTTTTCAAGTGATAACTCCAATATTAATATATTTGCAATAGTATTCTGAGCAGAAGTAGGAAACATAGTTGAGGAAAAAAAAAAAAAAGAAAGGACGGAGTTAGCAATCAATTCAACAGCTGTCACAATGCAAAAAGGGGTGCAAAAGAAACAACTGAATAGCAAAGTGTCTCTGGATCTCCTAACTTAAGTCCAGGCTGCTCAAAGGAAGAACAAGCAAAAAAATAATTCTGCCTAGCCTCAAAAACTGTTGCCACCTACTAGTTAATGTGGAGCCCTGAGGGAAGCACGCAAAGGCTCTGCTTCCTGTAGGCACTGGCAGCCACTCGCATTCCCCTTACTGCATTCTGCTTTTGGCAAGATCTACCACTAGCACCAAAAAGCTTTTGTCTGTATGGCCAGCACATTAGCCCTGTAACTTTCCCGACCTCTCATCACTACAGGAGCAGAAAGAATTCGCTTCAAACACATGAGAAACGAAGAGGATAAATACTTTGCCAAATTGCCTTTTTGACTGACTTACAAAAGCTAGGAAGGAGCAAAAGCAAGCAAATCCCACCTTGAGAGAAAGGTCACCAAGAGCAGCACTATTATTTTATTATTTTGAAATGCTAGACTCTAACATTGAGAGTTTCACTGCATAAGGCTTGGCCATTGACTTAAATGGGTACAGGTCCAGAGGCAGTCTACAATATTTTGCCATTAAACTAGACATATGATAAAATGCAGTTTGCTATTGGTAAAATCCGAGAGTTAAGCAGCAGTGAAGCAAGACAGAAAATCTGAAAAACAGCAATATGTTTACAATTGGGTCCTGCAGCAAGCCTGAAAGTCAAGTGGCAGCAACACAGCAAACCGTGTCAGGCGGCAGGGGGTCTCGCAACAACACTGAGGAGACTGAGCAGAGAAGGCTACAGTGAAAAATGAGGTTAGCAGGACAGGCTGGAGCAAGTATGGAGTGCTTCAAAAAACAAGTTGGGTAATTTGGACAGAATGTCAAAGGGGATAGGGAGTCACTTCAGTGGTCTGGGGACCAGGCCAGCACATACTACTTGCACGCGACCTTGAAGACCTTACAAAAGCCTATAGTTGCCAAACGCAAAGGAAGTTAATTTTGTTCTCAGTATGGGCTTTCATGTTTCTTTAAATTAGGATTTATTTTTAAAAGAAAAGGAAAAAAAAAGAGAAAAAAAAATAAAGGCAGCTGACATGCAGATCCTTTCCCTTTTTCCAAGCTTCCTACCCTTTCTCTGGGCATTACAGAGACCATGATATGTCCAGTGCAAGATCTAGGATTTATACATCCAAACTGTGTCCAGTCCACCCTCCTGAGCTTTTTGGGTGCCTCCACCATTCATACCGTAGCACTCTGCACAATAACCAATATATTTATCCTATAAGGCTGTTCCTTGAAGACGTTAAAAGAAATCCCTCACACTGGCATGGCTTATCATCGGCATGACAAGCAAGTTCTCTGCAGTGTGTTCACCGACCAGTGACTGAACTGGTCTTTGTGTGGGCAGCACTACCTACACCACGACCACCACGAAATCTGGTTCCAGAGCCCAATTCTCACGTATCTTCTGTTTCCTCCTCTTTCAGCTCCAATTTCTTTCTTTAATTTTCCTCAGACCTGTGGGTTTTGCTTTGTTTGCTTTCAGTTATATCCCTACCATGCTGTGCTCTCCCCCCCAGCTCCCCGTTTTTCCCCTTCTCCTCCCTTCTCCTGCTTCCTGTTTCCCAGTGGCTCCCTTGGAGACAGCACCACCTCTAGAGAAAAGGAAAGCAGTGCAGCTGAAATAGGGAAATGGCTACTTATCTTCACCAAAAATAAACCACCTGCAAGGGCACCTTGGGAAGACCAAGATACCAGAGAGGGTTTATCTGACAGGAAAAATAGTGGGAGAGCACCCTACTCATTTATTTGCAGTGTTTATTCCCTCTCCCTGCAATCAATCTGACAGGTAATTTTGAAAAACATTTTCCAAAAATTATTTTTCTCACTTCTCAAGACAAATCTATCATATCGTAATCACATAAGCCATGCAAAAATAATCACCTATTTTATAAGGCACAATTGGAGAATATCCAAAGCAAAATTATTTAGGAGTGCACTTAACACAAGTAGGAAATTATAAGCTATTTATAAGTGTGTAAAAAAATTCAAAGGCCATTTATTTCCTGTATTTGAAATAATGACGAGATAACTACTTCCTAGAATTTTTAATGCATTTAACCTATCTTTAAAGCCATTAAAATCATTTTTGAGTCCTGCTGAGTCCATTATAACTAAAGAAAACACTTGAGAGTCATTATCTCTTAACGCCTGATGCAAGAAAATTAAATTATTTCTACTTATTAATGTCTTTCTTCTCAAATAGCTCACAGTAACACAAATAAGACCACCATAAAATATGAAGGATGTAAATGATTTACTTAAAAAAATACAACTCTGTTACCTCTAGTGGAAAGGGCAGACTGCCTGAAAGGCACAGCACCACCACTCAGCATTTGCTGTAGTGCTGTGATTTGCTACAATTTGATGCCCAGGATGGACATCAGTCAACACAAGCACAACTCACGAGCCAACACGACTGTTTTGCCTGCAAAAGGCGACAGAACACCAACAAAACCTCACTGCAGCATGGGCGATGTCTCTTCTAGCAGCAGATATCTTCCCACCAATAAACACATCCCCTACAGCTGGAATCGATTTGAAACAAGATGGAAACTCCAATGAGGGAGTTTGCAAGAGGATGCGGGAAGTGTGCAATGAGCAAGCCATTGGATTTAACCCCAAATTGCTGAACATGGGTTTCTTGACCGTGAATCAAAACAAATGTAAAGGAGTTCATGTTTGCATGTTGTGTGTGTTATGTTTGCATGTTGTGTGTGTTATTTGCTGCAGGTAACACTGGCAGGTTTTGAAAAGAGTTCAGTGATTAAGGAGGTTCACATTTGTGATTCTGTGATCACACATGCATACATACATATTTGCATGTATACACACATATACATATTTATGTTTATACATACACACACACATGTATATTCAGTGTTGCCTGCAAACTTTTTCCCCAGGGGCGTCACCAGTTGCATTTTTGATAGAAGCATTTTTTCCGCTCTAAATACTCCACAAGGAATATTTTAAGCACTTTTAGATCACATTCACATGGTTACTGTTCGTACTTGAGTATGCATACACATAGATGAGGAGATGCACTATTATCTGCAAACATATGTGAGAAATGAAGGATCTGTGCATATGAGTGCACATAGTCTGGTCTATGCACAGCAATGACAGCATTTGTGCACATAGAGATGTTGGCCAGTGAAGCAGCATGCTCTGCTTAAAAGCAGGAAGGCTTCATCCTTGCCTATCTTCTCTTGATATATGCATGCAAAATTTTACATATATGATTTTTAAGGAAAAAAAATCTAACTAACTTGAAGTGCTATCCATTCACAACCACTTGTCAGAAATGCTTTTTTTCTACAAGAATGTGCATTTAAAAATACATATATATATATATATATATATAGGGATTCTGCCAGTTATGTATGATTTTATAAACATGCATCACAGCAATAGCATATCGTATGTAAATGTGTTGAGAAAACCCTTACATCTGCTAGGCCACCCTGAAAGGCTTTTAGAGGTGTATGTATAATGACATGACAGATCCATGTGGCATAGGTCGTGTAACAGCACAGACCATTTCGAACTTTAACTCTTAGAAGGCCTCCTTACTAAACTGACTGAATCTAAATTTCTAAACTCATTAAGAGTATTTTCAAGGCTTCATATTAGCAGTTGAGCTTTATATTTTTTCGAATCATTCGTCACAATATTGCTCCTTTTCCTTCTGTCCTCTGTAACTGCTTCACATCTTTTTACAAGTTGAAAAATGCTCTATACCAGTAACTTGCAATCTCTCCTTGTAGATGAGCACCCACTTAACGGGGCTCTCATCATTAATTGAAAAGCTAATGACACACAGCCCTTAACCCTGTTAAACCCAACAGGTTTAAAAGGCTGGAAACTGTAAGGGAAGAAATACAACATGTGCTCCTGCTGCTTCACTTCAGTTCTATGAAGTTCAGCAGAAAAACCATTCCCACTGTCACACAGCTCCCAGAGAAGCCAGCCTGAAAGCTGCATTTGCCTCTTTCCAGTGCTCTTCACTCAGCACATCATTAGCACAGTGAAGCTAAAATGAGTCATTTCCCCTCTACTGGTCTTTCCATTAAGGACTCTTA